CCTCCTTTGTCTGATCTTGAGGGTATAGAGAACGTCGATTAAGCACACTTCGCTCAATGCGAGGATCACAAGCTCTCACTAGAAAGATTGGAAACTATGAGAATGCCCAGAAGCTCGCAGTCTAATCTTAGTGGAGACAAGAGCAGGTAGGGTCGCACCCCAGGGGATTTATATCTCGTGGAGCAGGCAAAGCCCCGGTTACGTCAGACTCTATTGCTACCGGCTAGAGCTCCATGATTAGACTCCTTTCTGTACAAACTCAGCAGCATTGACCTGGTAAAGAAAGTAGGTGATTACTTGAACTCCAGTTTCAAGGCAGGACTCGATAGCATCCTTCCGTACGTTTGATACTGCAGGCGAGCCTTGCACGCATCTCGGGTACATACACGACCGGGTCAGGGGGGCTTGCAATGAACCTCTTGCCTTCGACCCATGCCAATTGAATAATCGAACCCTCACTCACTTACTCCCACTACTCTTCAGTAAAGAATTGAAGAAAAGAGAAGTTATATACCATCATTGTTTGAAAGCCGCATTAATTTGATTCGGAGTAATGGTAACCTCTTGAGTTGGCTGCTGGGTTCTTAGCTTGTTTGAATTGACTGAATCAGGAACTAGCCTAAACTAAAGGGTGCATTCCTAAGGAGAAGCGTAGGCTCGGTGCTTCACTCAATAGAAGCGCGGAGAAAGGCCACTCATCGAGCCCTATAGCGCGCATCGGGCTTCAAGAAGCAGACTAGGACAGGCATTGAAAGCGCTCGCCTTCGGTTCCCTACTCAGGAATTAGCCTAACGGCAGAGCTTTTGCTGCACTCAACTAATAATTGTTATGATGATAGTATATATAAGGTAAAGCAGGAATAAGACCGAAGCGGATAAGCTCCTGCTAAGCTCAACTCAAAAGGGCTCCACAAGCGCGATAGAAGAGTACTTAACGTGCGTTGAACGAGCAGCAAGGTTTTTCGCGATTTTTCCGTAATAAAGTAAAAGACTGTTCCTGCTGCGAAGTTTACCACTCCGCTAACGCTATGTGATCCGGTCAAGGTAGCTTGCTTACTTAGTGCTTGTGCTAAGGAGAATCGAATGGTCTTTTTCCACTTGAAAATCCCTTTCCATATCATTATATAGGCATATATATAGGAGTCACGACTGACGACGCCCTGTGTACTGTAAGCAAGTTACTCCACCAAGAGAAGATAGAATCCATCAACATCAAGGGCATCCCCAATAGCATTAGCTAGTTATATGCAAATGACAGTCAAGGAAAGAATCGGGTCGGGAAAGAAGACTGGAGTTGATGCTGAACCAATTCTTCCATTCCAGAGGAAGAAGAAATAACATTCCATGCTGCGAGGCATCGCTTTTGACCGCATTTATTCAGCGGTGCTCGCGCCATTTCCTATTGCTTGCTCCATTATTCCCTCACTGGCACATGCTCCGGGCTCCTGCTTTGCCTCTCACCCATCAACAAATGAATGTGTTGCGACTTACTTAATTTAATGAAAAAATATTTTCGATCAAAGCAGGAACATCCTCTATATATGAATATGTAAACCACACCCTTGAATTAATAAATCGGCTAAAAACTCTATCCCCTGGTGGGTGCCACAAATGGGTTCCCACTTCATCGCGGCAGCTAGCGGAGCAGGCATTGCTTGGTTCCCGAATGGGTCTGGCTTCCAGCGAGTGTGCCCCCCCATAAGCTATAAGGGCGAGCTTTACGTGATAGGGGCGAATTCTTGCATCGTTTCATAAGACCACTTAACAATTCACCATTTCTACCCCACTGCTAATGTAGATTAATCTTCTGTAGGATAGGCAAGGAACCCAGGACTATTAGCTGATTTCTTCCCCCATTCAATACTATTCGAATCTCTCTAGGTTAAGAAACTATATTGAGAAATCTATTTTGAATCCACAGGCGCTGGAGATTAATTCGGGTTCCTCAGCTAGCTGACATGTATATCTCTTCCTGGTTAGACATCCACCGGGGGTAGAGGGAAGGCTTTTTCAGGTGAGTGATCTTCCCTGATATTCAATCCATGCTTCTCTACCCGAACAACTCATCTTCACTAAAAAACTACTATTTATTAGATTCGCGAGGGGATTCAGGGACTTTTCAGGTTAAGTCAATCGTTGGAACAAGAGACGTAAGAAAAAACAATTTAGGGAAGGAGGCTCGATGGAATTGACGAAGCGGCAGGAACAACTGCACTTTTTACTATTATTTTATTCCGCGGGATTCTGCCTTTACTGCTCGTTCCGGAACCGTCGAGTAGATTCAATGCAGTCAGTCCGGTCAGAGGAAATGCTCGAACTGGCCAGTAAAGAAGAGTATCGGATTGGACGGTCGAACAATAAACAACCATTCTTGTCTTCACCTTCTTCCTCAGGAAATTACAAACCTTTTTGGCCGAACTATCTGTCTTTTATGCCCTCACCCCCCAGAGAAATAAAAACAAGCATGAGTATTCTACAAACAACAAAAAGACAGCTATGCCTTAAAGCCTTTCGCTCGAGCCTCTTGTCTTGAATACAGTCCATCGCCCCTAATAAGGTAAGGCGGAATAACAACCTTCGGAACATCTTCCGTTTCCCTAAGTGCCATGGATAACTGGGAAGATTCTTTAACAACGGATTTCGCCAACAACAAACTCCTTCTTGTTTGACAGCTCTTTCAACAGCTCGCACACAATGATATTGCGTATAATGATTACAGAAGATTTGCAGATTGCTAAGGATAAAGATTTATCAAGTCCAAGTCCGGGAAGTCTGTTTCGGTATCAATCCCTAAAAAACTTTCCCAAAAATGACTGTCCGTACCTAACGGGGGAGTATTTCCAGATGATGCAATACTGGCCTCAGTTTCTTAGTTTTCAGCTTGAGGATCTTTTCTTTATTATAAAGGTTTACAATTTCTTAGTCTAATCTTGGCGGATTTGTACACTTTGCCGTCAAGCCTATTTATTACAAAATCTCTCGAGGTATTACTCCTTTGGGGGAATTCAAACAAAAAAAAGTAAAAACATTTAAGTTTTTCACTCTTATTGCTTCAATCCATTCTTTTGCTTTGTTATCTGACTAATGAAACCTGGGCGGGCATTTATTGACATTAGCGTCCTTTCAAAAAAAGAAAGAAGAGAAAGAACTGGGAGTTGGCGCCTACATAACGGATTGCTTGCTTACCAAGCCATCCTGGCAAGCTCCTCCTGTTCTATTATTATTCTTGACTTGACTTATTATTATAAAAACGACTCACTATCCAAATGAAAGACGATCGATTATCTACCCAAGAAGATAGAGAGTCCCACATACGAGAAAAGGTCACAAATAGAGTTGAACCAAGTAACATTGCAAAGGCATAATGATAGTAGGGTCGGGATATCCCCGCCCTCCGAACCGGACGTGAAGGTCTCCCCTCA